TATATATATATATACATATATATATATATATATATATACATATATATATATATATATATTACAACAGTATATTCCAAATACATTGAATTTCATTTACACTATAACACTATATTGTAATAAGCTTATATTAAAGTACTAGCAACGGACAGCCCTTAGGGATGAGAATCTTGACAATTAGCAGCAACATGACTAATTCAACCAGAAGGTCTTAACATCCCCCAGACAAGCAATGAAAGAAAGTGGCATGGAATGCCAAATTCTAAAGCCTATCCGAACAGTATAGAAGGATCCAATCCTAATCCAACGATTTGAAAGACAGAACAAGGAATGGGGCCCTAAATAGTCTTCTAGAGGAACATTGCAAACCCAGAAAAACTTACCTTGAAGATTCAATCTATGCACACATTTGTTTGCATTTGATGATATCGCTAATCAAATTGTGCGGCATGGTAAGTACGCAGGTTGCTAACCCAGATAAGTGTCAAATATAAATCCTATATCAGAAAGTTATCAATTTTAGACACTCCCTTAAGCCGTCCCATAAATTGACAACATCATGTTCTCCATGGATAATTTTCAGAATTTCAAGCATTCGACCCCTGCAACCTCAAAAGATACAAGCAAAAATATGAATTGCAACAACTATAATCAAAAAATATTATATGATTGTCATACTTTTGTTCATATCATATATTTTGCTAGTGAATACTGTCAGGAAAACTTTTCCTAAGAATTACAAAAAGAATAATACTATAATAGCCAAAGATAATAGTTTCGTTTACAGTAGTTAGAACCAAAAAGATCGCAAGCGTCATATCTATGGAATAAGACAAACTAATCCCATTTCAAGAGCATTTCTTTACATATATCCTCAGCTGCAAAAGAATTAAAAACACAAAAATCACCTAGAAATAATATAAATAAAGGGACAATTACATGCAAAGCACCCAGTGCTAATGGATTTACCTATCTCACACTTAAACTTTCATTTTTATACACAGAGCATTTTACCTGTGGATAAAAAGATATATTTAATTATTAAAATATGATAATGAGTGCTACTTTTTTATATGATATTTTGTAATAATGAAAGCTTATCTGTGAGATAAATGAATATGAATGTTTTGGGTGCTGCCTACGTAAAGGCCCCTATAAAAAAACCTATGTTGCAAGGCACCCTACCCAGGCTTTTTCATACAAAAGATACCTAAATCTAAGTCTCGCAGCATAAATGGTAATGTTTTCATGGAAAAAAAAAGAGCGTTGTGGGCACCGCTGCAACCTTTCCTAGCTGATAAATTCTAGAAATGGCCTCATCTCTCAATTTATCCAAGAACAGTTCTTCTTCACGGATTCCTTCTCTTTCCATTCCTGAAGGCACACAACACAAGTTTTCTCGAAACTTATAAAAAAGGCACATAAGTAGAGGAAACGAAATTCAGAACAATTTAATAAAATCTGAGGGGAACACCTGAAGCGCAAAGGAGCGATAGGAGGAGCGGAAGAAAGAAAATCAGAACTTCGAGACCATTTATTAGGAAGAAGGATGGCCTTCGCCTGAGCGGGTGAGACATGGAGCATGTGCTCTGCTTCTCCAGTGCGAAAGTGCGACACACGTAGGTTTCTGCGGAGCAGGCTTACATGAACATGAGAACATGGGGTTATTGTAAGCTGGCGGACCACGTTAATCGATTTCGGGAACCTATCGGAATCGGAATCATGATCACGATTCAGGATCAGGACGCCTTGTGGTCCTGGGAATCGCCCTGGATATTCCCGATAATATTTTTTTTTTTTTTCCTAGGGAAAAAAGACTATTTATTTATTTGCATCTTAATGTGTTTTTCCGCAGGCGGCCCTCAGAAGTAACAAATTTGATTCATTCCTTGTTCTTAGGAAATATTTACTGATATACCAAATAATTCTTTATACCAACATATCTAACACTTAAAATTTACTTTTTATTTCTACAATAGTCCGCCTAATCATAAAAAAAGGAGCATTTAACTTTTTAAAGATTAGCAATTGTGATATCTTAATTTGATTTGAATGATTTAAGTTTTACAAATATAAAAAATAAAATTTAGATATCAGATATATAAATACATAAGAATTTTGTAGCATGTATGTAAATACCCTTAAATTTTATTTTACCAAAAAGGAAAATCTACTAAATTTTTTTTTCTTTTATTTTGTCGCATCATACTTTCTTTTATTTTGTCCCATCATACGCAAAACTTAAAACTAGAGAAATAAGCCTGCAATTACAATTTCTTAATAAATATACCAAAGAGTTAATTGAGATTAAAAAATTATTATTTTTAACCATAAATTACCTATTTAAGATTTCCTGGAACTGACAATGATTTCAACAAGTTTAAATCAAATAATATCCTAGAAACGTTGTGTTCTTGTTCAAATCTTATTCAAATTAGACATTAATTGAGTAGAATTAGAATATGATTTGAACAAACATTGAACAAAGTTCAAGTGCTATTAAAATATGATTTAACTAGAATTGAAATTCAATTGAAATATGTTGTTAATATCAAACATGGATCAGATAAAATTTGAGCATGGTTAAAAATGATTCTAATAAGTTTAGAACACGATTAAAATATATTGAATGGGCATAACAAAGTGTAGTTCGAGGGCACAATATAATAGTGTAACTCAAGAAATATAACACAAACATTTAAATCATTATATAATATAAGTTAGAGGTATAATACACACTTATAACACAACAATATGATTAAGTGAATATGCAAAATAATCATAATATAATAATTTAATTAATAATAACATATACTTAAAAAGGTAACGAAAAAAATAAAACGTAACATAATCATGCATTTCAAAACTTTACATAGTAACTATAACACAATATATATTAATTAAAAAGTTAACAAAAATGATTTTTATATGATTGTGTGAAATTGGATGTAACTTATGAAAGATGTTGTAGTTGTGCTTCTTCGATATATATTATCATTAAAATAGAAAAAATTAGAAAACATTCAAAGTGATTTTATTAACACTTATTATAAAGGAGCACAACATATACGTAGAAAAATGTACAAGCTTTATCATAGTATATATATTTAAATCATTCTTAGCATGTTGTTCTACTCGGGATGAAAAATTCATTATTAGAAAGCCAACGTGAGCATCGATCTTTAGTACTGCATCTATCAAACATTATTTAATATGACATTCAAAGTTTCTATAGATGCTTGAGAATCTACCATTTGGTCTAATGAATTTTCTTTAATCATTGCATTTGATGAGAAAAATTCATTTTAAATTTGTCTAACTTCCTTGAAATTGTAGCAACTTGGTTTGCTAACATTACAAAAAAGCATCAGATTCACGAATATTGACTACTTTCTTAGGATTTACTCTTTCAGAAGGTCATTGAAAATTATTAGTAGTCATCTCTTCAATTAAAGCATAAGCGTCATGAAATGGTTTTGACATCAACGAACCACCAACAGCGGCATCGATGATAGATCTAAGAGATCCAACTAATCAATTATAAAAAGTTTGAATTTTTAACCAATCTGGTATAGCATGGTGTAGAATTTTTTTTTCAGTAGTTCTTTAAATAGTTCTCATGCTTCATAAATAGATTCCCCTTCAAACTGACAAAAAAATGTAATATCATTTCTAAACTTTGCAGTTTTTTATGGTAGAAAATATTTAGCAATGAATTTTTACGCTAAATTAGAAAATATTTATTTTATGGTAGAAAATATTTAGCAATGAATTTTTACGCTAAATTATCCCCAAGTTCTGATAGATCTAAGTGCTTACTAATGTAACCATATTTTAACCTTATCCCTCGGTGAGAAAGGAAAAAATTTAAGCCTTATAACATCATCTGATACACCATCTATTTAAATGTAACACACAAATCTAGAAAATTGGCAAGCTGTAAATTTGGATCTTCAGTTGGTGCTCCCTCAAACTGATTATTTGATGTCATTTGGATAATATTGGGTTTAAGTTCAAATGAGTTAGCCACTACAGTAGGTTTTTGAAAACTACAATGAAGTTCATCCACCGTAGGGTTTGCATAATCTCTTAAAGGCTTAAATTCTTGATTAATTTCACCATTTTAATTATTTTAATTTGTCATTTCTTAAAATTTTGATTTTTGCAGTAATTTTTAATTTTTAAAATTTTCTAATAGTTCTCTCTAATTCAGAATCGTAGGGCACATGACCTGTAGAACCTGAACTACGCATACATTACTACGAAAGTCAAAAAATAAAAACACACAAACAAGAACTTTATATAAAAACAACACTACAATATTCATATAATAAATCTAAAAGTTTAAATAAGACTTTATAAAAATAGAAATTTACTTTCTAAAAATTTCTTCAAAAATTTTCTTCAAAAATTTCTTCAAAAATTTTGTATATTTATTTTTGTTTACCCCTGACAACGGCGCCAAAAACTTGATCGCGAAATATTTTATATGTCAATGTGATGTATGTGATTATATTCTTAGTTTTTCCTTATAATTCTTACTTTGCAACGACGACAAAAATTTGATCACCAGCAACAGCTAGGCACAAACTTGACTTCAAAGCAAATAAGAATACAATTATTATATTTAAATATGGGATACCACGCAACTATATGTATCGTTATCAAGTAATATAGGACTTTTTGATTAAGCCTCAAATATCAAACCCACAGGGATAACTACAATATGCAACTACAAATCATGAGAAATTAGATAATAAATTCTACTTAGCAATATATTCTTACTCAAACTATAGGTGTTATAATAGGATTGAAAGTTTGATTCTTTTTGTAATTTTTGATAATTGAGGATAAAGTAAACAATTAACTAAACTTAACTAGATACTTATAAGTTGAAGGCAATATAAATAAAATATATATTTTCTTATTATAAATTAGTAACAAATATAGGAATTCTATTGTGGAAGTATTCTAATTGTGTTGTGTCAAATAGGAGCAATAATATTTTGTACCATTACTAGACATGCTATAAAAACATTGGTTAATTTAAAGTTTGAATAATCTTGAAGATGGAAGATACTAGCTCTCACTCTAGAGTTCCCTCTTCTTTCTCCACTTGGGGGCTAATATCTTGTACAAAACCTAAAACTATAAATCAAATTGGGGGCTTTAGCTTGTCACTCTAAACTCCTATAATTCTACTCCCTTCAAAGTTTATTTCCTTATTTATTTGCACTCAATCATATGAATTACATTATTATCTATACAATTTCATGTTATTCTTACCAGTTGTCAACTAAGACAATACCATCAAATCTTACATGTTCTCACAACTAGTATTAACATCTTATTTGGCCAAATCAAGAAGTAAATAAAGTACAAGGACTAAAATCATCATAACTTCTTTCAACTTTAAAGATTAATACTTCACACAACTTCCATCCAATACATAATCACTTATCCTTTTAAGGACAAAGATAAAGAAAACTATTCAAAATTCATGGAGAAAATACAACAACACTTAAGTTTGAAAGTAGAAATCATTTGAAAGTAGAAATCATGTAGAAATCATACAAAAAAACAAAAAAGTCTAAAATAAAACCAAATGTAGTCACAAAGATAAGAACTTATCTCAAATACTCTCCACCTGAGTCTTGAAGTTCCATTGAATCTCTTTCTTCACTTACAATACAAACTACAACTTAAAATAAAAATAAAAGTGGCAGCAGCGACAACCACTATGGTCTGGGACGGCTGCGTGTTGGCGACAGAGATGAGGGTTGGGCCTCATGGTTGATGGCTCCCTTTTCTTCAATCCAAGTCTTCTTTTATAATTTCCAAAATGCACCTTGGTGTATCTTCAAAATATGTGCAAATTCAATGAATCTTCTAGAATTTTACTCCTTTCAAAAGCCAATTGAATGAATTTTACTCATTAACTATTTCCTACATTTTCACTGAGGGTTGCTTCAAACACCTCTTCATAAATTTGTCAAAATTCATTGAATCATCAAGTAACTACTTTTTGCGCTTAAGCGCAGAGTACTGAGCGCTTAAGCACGGTTCTCTCTGTTTCACTATCGCGTAAGCTCTAGTCTTAGGTACTTAGGCACCTTAGTTCAATTTCACACCTTCTTTTTGCTCCAAATTTGATTCTTTTTCACTCTTTTTTACCATTTTTCATACATTTGACTGTACTTGAAAGAAAAACACACAAATACCTTTCATTAAAGCGCAATATCTCAAAAATATGTATAAAAATATGTACATAAAGTCTATATATTTTAGGTATATCGGTGGGTAATCATACAATCACTTAATGTTTTATTTGAAAGTTATGTGAGTAAATGCCTCGAAGGACAAACCTAGAGTCATTATGGATTTTATACCCCAGATTAAAGTCATGCTTGTAGTGTTTTCAAAATGTTCATGAACAGTTATTTTATCTTTTCTAAACCTCATTAAATAATCTTGGATTAAGCTAGTTCACTACTAAGCCCATAAAAATTTCATGTATAAATTTGTAATTATCAAAATATTAATTTAAGTTAGATCTTTTCTCATTAAAGGGTCATGCTATCATCTAATCACCAATTAGGGGATTCAAATATGTGACTTATTATTTTCCTAACTTAAGCCCACTATCTTCGGATCATCCAATTGAATTAACCTCCGAGTCATAATAATTTATAAAATTATAATTCTACCATTATCATGAAAATGTCGCAAATTGGTTTGTACCTCTTAACCCATTATATTTCAAGCATTTAAGGGTG